TACAGAAAGATACATTTCACAGGACTGAATACTATGGTTCTTTAAAATAATGAGGAATTAGTATCCCATTGGTTCTAAATTTAGTGCCACTCTGATATACTCTGGAGATTGTTTTTTGAAAAGCATATCTGACCTAAACTGATGTAGGTTAAAAAAATAGTTATTCCTAAGAAGTAATCCTGGGGTTAGGGGTCTTAATAGGTCATTCCCAGGATGCCAGGTGCCAACAGAAGTTGAGAAAGGATGACTCCTTGGTACCTAAATGAGGGGGAAAATTATTTGGCGGAGAAAAGAGAAGATAAAAAAATCATAGGGTATATGTCAGAAAGTATTACTGTTTTTCACACCCTAAATGCTGTATGGTCCTCTCATTATCTGTGGTAAGGGCAACACCTTAGGAAATTTCAGTTATGGGCTTTGTGACTGGATTCTTCCTTGACATGAGCAAAGTCCCCACATTTCTGTCTTTACAGGCAGACTTTGAATTGTCATTCCTCATAAATTCTGCATGATATGAAGCTTGACATGATTAAATAACATCATATGGTGAGGAAGGGTGTTTACTTGCTTCAGAGAGGTGATATTCCAATTTTTTAACAACTGGTACAGCATGAAGACATCCTTTCAGATGGGGTGAGATTTCTGCCATGTCAGCCAGTGCTGGCTTTGTGTTAGCCCTGCCTGCTGTATTTGCCAGGCATCTTATCTCACTGCATCCTCAGGCCTGGGTGTGGCAGGAGTTCACCCATGATCTTCAGCACATTGGCTTCTTCGTGGGAGGTGGAAGGCCCTATATATTAATAGTATGTTTGAGCCATTGCAACCATGTATAAGGAAAATTTTTATTAAACTCCAAAACTCCACAGAAATAAGGTGGCTAAGTGCTGATGAAGAGAAGTACTCTACTGTGAATGAAAGAGTTTGGGATATTTGAAGGAGGCTGACATTTAAGAATTTTATGTGGGGATTATTACATTAGAAGAAGAAAGGTTGTTGGGTATGAGATAAACATAGAGTTTATGTGCCCGATGCATTGACCTTAGTTATGTTTGCTTGCCTGTGCTGAATGTGTGTTTGCAGTTCATATTAAACTGCGCCTCACACTTCATTTCTTCTCCATGTCTCGATTTAAATTTTGTCTGCTGGTTTTCAGTATATGGACAAATAGAATATTTTGTATTATCAAATATGATGATGAATTTCTCCTGTTAATAATAAAATACATATTAAAATGTTTGCTTTAGAAACATGTCAGGTTATCCTTATTGATAAACATCAAATATCTTAGAAAATATTACAGTAAAATAATTTTTTCAAGGAGGAAACATGTTCTTAAAATTTTACCAAAACTAGAATAATAAGTCCACATTTTTGGGGGGATACCTAACCTTGAACATAGCACTGTATGTTAGGAAATGAGGCATGTAGAAAGGAATATGAGTTAATAGGTTAACATTTAAAATCTTTAATATCACCTTTTTAGGTAAAAACCTTCATATTTTTATTCATTTTGTGATTAGTGGCCTATACTTTTTCACTGAGCAATCACTTGGTGAGAATATTATAGAAAACATTATCTGTAGAAACTGGTAACAGTATATTTAGTAATGGTCTTAACATATGTTTTCTTTTCATGTTCGGCAAATTGTCAATTTTTTTTCCCTCACATTAATACATTCAAATTCCTTAAGCTCTCAGATTAGTTCTACAATCTGTGTCTCACTGGTCATCCTTTTGGGCTTTACAATTCTAGTCAATCCTAAATCTTAAATCCTAAACTTCATGTGAGTAATATTTGCCTTGAAGGATTATTTATGATATTTTCTATTTCAGAATTTCTATGATCTGTTGATTTGGGATATTATTTGATAGTTTTTAAGTTTAATTTCATCTAGAAAATCACTCACAAAACTGTAAGTAGAGAACACCTGAACACACCAATTTAACTAGGGAAATTATTTCTAAATTGTGGTCCTAGGCTAGTGGCATCCACATCACCTAGGAACTTTATAGAAATGCAAATTATTAGGCTCCACCTCAAATCTGAATCAAAAATTCCATAGGAGTGGGGCTCAGCAATCTGTGTTTTAACAAGCCCAAGTGCTCCTAATGTGAGCTATAGATGGGAAGCACTAAACTAGGGAGTTCTCTGGTTCTATGTATAGTTCTGTGCTTAGTAGAGAAGCAAACAGTTATCACGTTTGGTTCTACGCTCAGGCCTACATAGTGATATAAACAATTTGCATTAAGCATTTAATTAAATTAAATCTATCTCATGTACTCAGTATAAGTCATACAAGATTAAAATGGAAAAATGAGCAATCTGGATCTAAAGTTTGCTCTGTAGGTTGGATCTGATATGGCTTAGAACCATTTATCATTATTATTAAAATTATTACTTTATTTTCAGTTATGCTGAGAAATAAAGTCACATGACTTATTTCACGAGACATACATTTCCCTAAAATGTGTCTATCAACTTATATTTTTAATTGTCTGCTTCCACAATTGTTTCCTGCAATCATACATAGGTATACCTTAATGATAGTTCCTTCTGTTTAAACTAAGAATTTAACGTTAGTTTTTTTTAATTTAAATTTTTAAA